ATAATAAACCCATCAAAACAGGGGTTCTTACCCTTTTTGACCTCGGGGCCCAATTTGTTGAACGTTAAGAGGCACGAGGCCCAGTCAGAAATTACCAATGTACAAATATCAAAATGACAATTATTCTACATCTTGGTTAATGTGTATTGTATTTGCATTTTAACTAAATTAAATACACTTACAGTTTAAAAGCAAAACTCCTGTTAATAATAAACTGTTAAATAATCACAAGACATGATTATGACAAACATTTTTTTATATTGTAACCTGCCTTTAACAATTATTTGAACAAATACAAAGGTCAGTCAAACATTCAAAATGTCCATTTACAGTCTAAAATGTTTTAAAAAAACTGTAAAAATAAATTTGATAAATTGCAAATGAAAATAAAGCCGTTTTAAACTTTTGCATGGTTTAACCAGAAGCTGCTCTTCATACTAGTGACAAACAATAACAGTAACAACAGCTTTTTGACAGGTTTTAAGTTTCTTTAAAATACATTCAAAATGTTTAAAAACAAACCACATTTTTTGATAAAGTTCAAATTAAAATATAGCTGTATGTGCAAATGTATTTGATAATGTTTTGAACTTTTAAAATCAATATTTTAAAAGCATAGTAAAACCAGAAGTAGCACTTCATATTAGTGACAAACTTTGGCCTTTTTTGATGGGTTACTTTTATTTTTGCCTTCTACTTTTAATTTAAAATAGGTTTCCATTCTCGGCAGGTTTCTAGGGTTCTTCTTCTGTGTATTGAAAAGTTGTTAAACATCTGAGTGGTGTACTACCACTACTAGTGGCAAGAAAGTTTATTGCACCTTTTTCAAAATTAATGCTGTCCTGCGGCCCTCTGCGGCCCAAAGTTAAAAGCTGTTGTTCTTTTGAGGCCCTCAAGGTGGCGCTCGCGGCCCACAATTGGGCCCATGAGTTGAGAATCTCTGCATTTAAACCATTTTTAACAAAATCCTAATATCAAAATACCACATTTTTTTAAGCATTCCTAAAACAAAAGTCAAGCTTCCATCTGGACATAAAACACATACGTATGATTTAGTATAATGCTACAACAAAGTCTTAGCAGTAAGTTAAACTACAGTTAACTTTCAGCAACTCCCCAAATAAATAACTTTTATAACCTAAACTGATGATGGATCCTCCTGAATTTTACTCACACATTCATGTCGTTAATGCCCAGCTTACTGTGGAAATGTTTTCCAACGTCACAACCAAACCACACGGCCTACGTGAAGCAGAAAAAGAGAGAAAAAGAAGAAGGTAGTCARTATTTTTCAAGTTCAAACATGCAAAATTACAGCACTTTTGTGGCTACATGTGCAACATTCTTACAGTCTTGAAAAATCTGGAAAAGCATGAAATTAGATTWGGATATTTTCTAGGTTTGGATAAGTATGGTGGGGGGAAATCTGAAAAAATGTCTGTTTTCAGACTATTTCCAACCCTGTTTTCTAACAAGTAAGAAAAAACTAAATAAAACCTAAAAATATAATCAAATAAATAAAAAATKAGATGTTTCTTCATCTACCACAGGCTTTCAGTTTACAGTTAGTCACTGTAATTTCGGTTTTTGAGTTATTGACTTGGAAACCACAGACATGCATGCTCATACACATGCATATACCTTGAGGTTTAGAAAAGACATTTATCAGGTGATAAAAAAAGATAATATTATTTAAGACCCTTTTTGGTTTTTTATTACCATTTTATAAAAAAAAACAGACTTAAATTTCCACGTCKTTGTCAGTGAAAAACGTGTAGGAACCTCGCACGTTTTCCCACACACCTCTCCTTCCTTGATGGAATCTGCTGCAGCCTTCTTGAGCAGCTGGATGGGCTGATTGTTGTACAGAGTTTTACGACCTTCGACCATGTTACTCAGGAACTCCACACTGTACAGCTTCCCGTACGTGTTCTCTGGTCGAGGGTCATTTACGAGGCAGATCTGAGGAGTGGGGGACGACAACCGCTCGAGTTTATACTGAACAGCTCTACTTAAACTGTAAAACCAAGGTTTTTGTGCTCCATCTGAGGCGTTCCATACCTTGTCCTGTATGTTGTATAGGGCTTTGACGTGCTCCCTGTAGAACTCTTGGGGAGTGAGAGGTCCCATACGGTGAAAGTTCTTGTCCTTGTCCCTGTACTCCCAGCAGATGGTATCAGGAGGGCTGCCCAGGCAAACGCTGACCACGCGGAACACCTGAMAGAATTTAGAATCTGATGTTGACATTTTCCGAAGTGCATGAAATCATTTACAGTCTAAAAGTCTCAAGTCCCCAAACCTTTAAATGAGCAACAAACAACCAATTGCTGTAGAGACACCGTGTGATTATACTTAAAGTGAAAGTAGTGCAAAATTTTTGTTTCCCTATTGTGAACACCTCTCTCCCAGTGAACCACACCTGTAGGCCTGTCATGATAATAAATTTTGCTGGGTGATGAATAGTCTCAGAAATTAACACAATAGAATATTGTTAGGAGACCATTTTAAACTAATATAATGAACTCTTACATGTGTCTTTTACATAACCCGAACAATCAGATCCCAGGAGTTCACTCCTCCCTACGCCAAAAAGTAGAAAAGAGGGAGACAAGAAGAAAGCAAACAAACAGGCAGGGAAATGAAACACAACCTAATTTTAATTTATCGTGCTGAATAAAATTTTGTGACTGATTAACTGAATTGTAGATAGTCATATTTTATTCTTTGTGATCCATTTACTTTAAACAGGAAAAAAAAATCTGTATGTTCCTACTCAATGCCTCCCTCTGCAGTATAAACAAGAATTGTTGACATTCGAAGGTCTGATGTAAAAAAGGTACCACCCCCAGGGAGTGACCAGTCTGTTTGGGTTTTCTGAAGCACATAAGATTTTAGTCTTTGTGGAGTCGTTAGTATAAGCAGATGCCGGGCTGTAGAGAGGGTCACCATTTTGGTTCTGATAAGGCTAAGGGTCACACACAGGCGCTGGGAGACAGTGGCTCTGAGTAATGAAACAGTTTTTAAAGTAAGAGTCAGAACAAAGCTCATTTTTGACCTATGCGAGAGGTCCGACACCAGACTCAGCCCTAAACCGAAACGTTTTTAGAAAGAGACTGCCATAAACCAAGAAACGCTGCTTGTAGCTGACGGAGCTGTAGATGAGATTAAACACTTTTGGATTAAGAAATAAGCCAGGGTTCTTAGCTTTGCTGATAATATGGTGTCTGATCTCACAGAAAGGATACTGGAAATCAAAGCTGACTATCAAACACTGAAAAAAGCATTTCATTCACGCTGGAGCTGATCACACCATCAAGCGACAATCAGAGATCTTGAAAAAAAGATTTTATTCACTTGCTAAAGCTCAAAACCTAGAGACAGAGGTATTTATTAGCAGGACCGTCCCCACAATTCAAGGTGATAATGAAACATTTATTAGACTGTTGGCCCTTAATAGGTGGCTTAAAGATTCTGTTCTGGGAACTCTGTGGTCTTTATTGACAATTTAAATCTATTCTGAGAGCAAAAACATCTATTTAAATGCAGATGGTCTGACTTTGAATTGGTCTGGAGCAGAGTTGCTGGCTTCAAATACGGCCTTTTTCTGAAACCAGATAAAACAAGCGCGTCTTGAAGACAGCGTTTTTGAGCAATTGAGTTTTTTAAGATCTGAGGAATAAAGCTTTTTAAAACAGATAATTCACTTTGTTTTCTGTGCARTTATTCYGGCTTCCAATTTTTGATCAGGTTCTCTTACAGAGCGATTAATTGATTATTTGCTTTTCGCGACAGGCCTATTCACCTGTGAGTGCAYGAACCTCTGAACTTTCCCCAATAACATGTCCCCTTTCCTTTCTGTGCATCCCAGTGCTTCCCAGCAGTGCAGAAGTTCAGATTGAGTTCCTGTGGGCTAAACCGAGTCATTTGGACCGGGCCGTCAGTCCATCTGGCCTCTCTAACCTCTGATATAGTTATCTGTGGAATTTTCCCCTTTTCCCTTTTGCTTCTCCCATGCTCAGCTCTCCTCTCCCAGGACCCAGCACATGCTTCTCCTATCAAACACAATTAGGAACAAACAGAGATTGGGATGCAGAGCCTGTGGCTGGTGAGAGATAAAAGAGCAGCAAATAGACAGTGATATGTTGATTTGACAAAAAGCAGATGTACGTCGGTGCTATAGTGCAACCTGCAATACAATAAGCATGGCTGTAATTGCACGGACAAATGGTAACACATCGTACTCGCGCTTAAATATAAATGGATGAAAGTACAAATTCATTCAAACAGATGTTTTTTTTTAAATCTACCAACAGCCAGTAAAACGTACTGGTCCTTTAAAAAAAAGATTATTTTTGGCAGGGTCTACAGAACTCAAGTGATGCTTTTGCAGACGTGCATAAATTCTGGTGTTCTTGACAAGCTCAAACAAACAGCTGTCTTCTTCAGTACACCGAAGTGTGACATCACAAAAAAAGTACAGATACAAACAAAAATACACACATATGGTGAGCCAACAAAGACCTCTGAACTACTTTGATCCTCATTCAACATTTTTCTAAAACAGCTCTATGACTGAGATCACACATGAGGTGTCCATCCTTTCTTCCATCCTTTAACTCTTCTTTTTGTCTTCGTCTTGCATTGACGATTCTCTTCCTGGTAACTTTAAACCTTTTATTTTTTACACCGCCTGTCAGCCCCTCCTCAGATATCCCACCATGTTGTGCTCTGTGAGGATCAGCCTTTTACAACAGGTCAGCCTTGCATGCACTCAACACACCTGATGGGGTAAATAAAGTGGGTGTGAGGAGAAGGCCTCGGTGACGTGTCAGCAGGATCAATATTGGAACACCTGTCGACATGGTGACAGATGTAGATGAGTGATGGGGAAAACAAAATAAAATAAATAATTAAAAATGAGGGCGATAAGATGGTGTTGAAAACAATACACCTACAAAAACAGCTATTATGAACATAAATCCAGGGCTTTTGATCCGTATGCTTTATGGCTGCATTTACTGATTTTATTTTAATCAATGCTAAAAAATCTGCAAGATTATAAACAATGATCACAAGACAAAAATAATGGTACAAATGTATGTTAACAGCTTGTGCATTGATTAGTAGTGGTGTAACACTACATTAATCCATCAATATATCAATTAAATAATTAAAGATTCAATTACATTGGGGAAAAATTAAAATATCAATCCATATCGTCATATGCCCGATGTGAATCCATATTTCGATTGCAGACTTATGAACTGATTTAAAATCGTATCTTGACCTACTGGGATATTTATGGGGGAGGCTGTGGCAGAGTGGTTAGGGGAGTCGTCCTGGAACCGGAAGGTCACTGGTTCGATCCCCCGTCCAGCTGTCTCAGTTGTTGTGTCCTTGGGCAAGACACTTCACCCCTAATGCCTCTGATGTGTGTCCCATCAGTGTATGACTGTGATTGTCACTGATTAGTCTCCATAGATGATTGTACATGCTAGTTTTGTAGGATCTCTGGTAGAGTGCTGTGTGAATAGGTAAATGAGGACACAGATTATAGTGTGAAGTACTTTGAGTGTCCTGTTTGGGTAGAACGGTACTATACAAGTAGTCCATTTACCATATTTAGAAACATTGGGCCTCATGCGAGAACTGTTCATACACAGAGATTTGTTCTTAAATTGTGCGTACGAGTGATTTAGGAGAATTTGTGGCATTCACCAATTTTCTCATATTCTAGGATTGTTTTCAGATACGAACAAAATTCACGAGTGGTCCAGACCTGTCGTATTTTTTACGAGCAGTCAGTCTGCTGTTGTCTAGACGGATTTTTCTCACTAATAAATTTTATATTTCATTAGTTTGAAGATATTTCGAGTTGAAAATAAATCACACTCTATAATTATGTGCGTGACTGTTCTTCTCCTGAATAAATGAAAACTATGTAACACAGTTGTTTACACTTAAATTAAAAATATTTGACCAAGGAGCAGGACTAGAGAGAGATGAATATGATCTAGATTTTTATTTCTGTCAATGTACGTACATGTCACATCACATTCAACAAACTCTTCTATCTTCAGGAAAAGTGTGTAAATGAGCTGTGCAAACTGATGAATGCGTATCAGGTGCTCATGCACGGGGAAAGGTGATTAGCATAAGCTACCACCCCAAAAACACCACAAAAGGATATACAGCGGGTAAAATAAGTATTGAACACATCACCATTTTTCACAGTAAATATATTACTAGAGGTGCTAATGACATG